GTAAATTTCATGGCTTATGTGTGCTTCAAGGAGGCCGTGATATTTTGGTGAGTACTGCTCATGTAGACAGCTGTTTCCAGCGCGGTTGGATTGTACTGCACAACATCCTTCTGTAACTAATGAGCATACCTGTGTGAGGATGTTTTCTGTGGGGTAGCATCCTGGTTGCTGCCATTCTAAATTTTTGGTAATTGGAAAGCCTTGCTAGTGGAGAGTTGGTACACTACACTCAACGAAGTACTGCCTAAGTGTTTGACCTAAAGCAGATGTCATGTCTGTCCTGCTTTGCAGTGATTTCCTGCTTACCACCTCTGTTGCCCATCTTCACAGCAGAGTTCCCGGTCTAGGAACATGTGTGGCCCCAAATCCTTCCTTAATAATGAATTGAACAGTTATTTAAATGTTTGCAGTGATTTCCGTCTGCTGCAGACATTGTCAGAGTGACCCAGGACTTTGCGATGCCCCAAGTGGATGAATGCAAAGTGCTGCTTTACTTGATGTTGTCCTGATCTACACTGGGAAGTTGTTGATGGTACGTTAGGAAAAGGGGGTGTTACGAAGTGTTGGCCATGGGAAGCATATCATACTGTGGGGGCTTCCTCTCTGTATTTACAGCCTCTTGATCTGTGAAACTACATATAAATTATTTTGTCTGGGAGAAAGTGTTTTCAATGAGTTTGGGAATTGAGCCTTTTTGTGGCCATCAGCCTTTTCATCTTCTGGGCACAGTATGTCACGTTATAAAGAGTTGTTCTTGAGGCGTAAGGTAGAGGGACATTATGCTTAAGATCTAGAGTGGCATCTGTTTCACACCTTCTCTCTGTGTGTTTATATTTGCATACATACATATTCATGCATATGTTTATGTTTCTAGTGAGCTCAGCAACTCCTGACTTGGGTCTTATTTATAAAACCAGGAAAAATAAGGCCTGCTCAATGACCTTCATATGAGAAGAGAATGAGAGGGGGAAAAGAACTGTCTTTTATCTGTGGCCTTTACATAGGTGTCTAGACTGTGTTGTGTTTCTGTGGGGACGTGATAAAACGTGGATAACTGCAGTTACTGCCCCAGTACTTGGGGTCAAATTGCCTTTGCAGAGCTCTCTGTGTGTGTGAGATGTGCTGGCAGAATAGCAAGTGCCTCATTTGGCGGGGGGGATGTATAGTAGTGTGTGGAAAACCATGAAATCTGGAAATATATTTGAGTGTCTGCGTTTCTTTTTCTCCTTTCAGAGATATAAAGACATTAAATATCTTTCTAACCAAGGCAAACCTGATTAAATTGGGAGACTATGGGTTGGCAAAGAAGCTGAACTCCGAGTACTCTATGGCTGAGACTGTGAGTATCTGCCTTTGTGTGTACACGGAGGTGTGCTTTTCTTTCATCTCTGCATGCCTTGCAGAAGACCAGGTTTACTGTACATTCTTGCTGCTTGTTTTCTGTGGTTTTCCTCTCCCCTCAATTTCCCTCCATATTATCTCATTATTCGTATATTTGCTGGTGTGTTGCAGCCTGCAGTTATCATTGCTCCCAGGTTACCTTTTGGAGGTCTGTCTCTCTGCAGAGCAGCAGTAGACTAAAGAGAAGTGCCACTGTGGGCATGGAATTGTGTATAAATCTGTATAGCTGTGATAGAGGGCACTGCTCTTCTTTCCCTGGTACCTAGGCACTGTACCTCCAAAGGTGAACCTATGTAATATGAAAGCAATGCTGTGCAAAGGTACACAGAGAGCAGTATAGTCACATCAGTACAGTGCTCCCCCTCTGGTCTAGTTAAGCCCAGCTAAGCAAGTTAAGTTAATTTGGTCATGCTGCTGCACTAACAGGGGCATTTTGCCTCAGCTAGATCTGAGATAGTTCAGATGTGTTTGCCTGACATTGCAGCGTGCCCTAGGTATATCTCCTATCTCTAATGCTCGGGCTCTGAACTGAATTACAAAGAAGCAAGCAAGGTACTTGTGCTTCTTATGGTAACCAGGTGTATGGTTTATTGATAATGCTTTTGAAGGGGGGCAAAGCTTTGTGGGAGAGATGAATTCTACCAGAAGGCTGTCAAGCTTGGCTTTGTTCCAGACCCTTCCAAAAAGCAGGTGTCTTGGCCAGAGTTGTGACACAGGGTAAGCTGTATTGCAGGCATCTGAAGGCTCTGCTTGGATTTCCCAGCTCCATTAACTTCTGTGGTGAGCACTAGGCTTGGAAAGGGAGACATTGTCTGGAGCTCCTATCTGCTAAAGGCCTTTATTGTAGCTTGGGATGCAGGCCAGCTTGCACTTCCGCTTACCAGGCTGAGTGATTAGATTTAACGCAAGCTATTGGTGTTCTGTTAGGGTGTGTAGTTAAGTACTTGCCAACTCCTTCCAGAACGTGAGCGCTATTGTGCAGTTGCACAGTGAGTAGGAACTCAAGGCTACTGTCTAAAGCCCTCGCTAAGCTGGGCTGCAGCAAAACCACTTCTGTTTTGTCACATTTTTTAGGGTCTTCTGGCTTTCAGAGGAAGTGCAGTCTGTGCTATGAATTTCCAGGCTTGTTTTTGCCTGTGTTGTGTATGTTCATCTACACCTGTGAGCTTTTTTTTTTTTCCTTATCAATTCTGAAAAATTTTGAACTACCCACCCTCAACCGTCCTTCATTCTGTATATGCTGGCTGTGCTCTGGGCTAGTTGCTCCATTTGTGATCTAGTGACCAGTGGCAGTCTGGAAGTTGTTTTTTCTGAAACAAGTGCAGAACTTGTTATTTTCAGTATTTGTAATTAACAGTCAAATTACAATTTTGTGAAATGTTTATGACTTGCTTACTAAATGCTTGTTTCTTAATTTATCATTCTTTCTCCCGTTTACCAAGGAAGATACAGAAAAGATGTCTGTGTCTTACAGAAAGCTTATGTTGCTTATATTTGCTTAAATGAGGTTTAGGTGCGGTGTCCTAGTTCTCCATGTGATACTCCAACTAGCTGGGCTTCTCACCCTTCCACGGCTAGGACTTGCGTAGCTCGGAAGCTGTCACGCTCTGTAACGGGAAATGGAAGGGAGATGGCAGATTCTGAATGTGCCCATTAGGTATCTAGTGTACTAGCAGAGTCTAATGAAAGGCAAGCTTTGTAGTCCTTGGAGCTTTGCTGAGAGAGTCGAAAAGAGTGCAACTATAAATATTTCCCCTTCTTCTAAATTCTGTCTTTCTCGTTTTATTTTGTTGTCTAGCTCCTTGCTAGGGAATGAGCTCCATTCATCTGGAAGCTTCATTCTTATACCTTTTATCATGTTTGTTCTTTGTCTCCTTGTTGGGACTTTGAGCTATGCCACTATACCTGGGAGGGCTGTATTTAAGTGCTGGGGTTTGGGAATTTGTGTCTGCTGGGATGTGTTTCATTTAAACCAATTGTTCAGGAAAGCCCACTTCTGAAGTGAAAGCCTTTCAGGTGGGACTGAAGCCAACTTTCTACTTACTGACCCAAAAGTAACCCCTCTTTCATCAAAGACAGAGTAGCCTTTGTCCTGGCAGTACCTTGTGATCAGACAGAGTGGCTCCATAGCCATGGGCTGGCATCTGTGTTTGGAAGCTGTGCTAGATCCCTTTTTCTTCAGCCTCCTATGAAGGTTTCCATATGCGTGGTCAGTACGTAAGCCCCTGTTTACCTCTAAATGTATATATTTAAGAGAAGGGCAAGTCCTTGCTGTGTTCTCATGACTACTGCTCTGTTGAGAAGTTTGTACCACATCAGGATCTGAACAGAGGGGTATCTAAGAAACTCAGGTACAGGCTTGTGGATGAGAAAGGAAGAAGCGTGCTGCTTGTTCCCATCTCTCCAGCATGTTGGTGGGGTGTGTCATCTGTGTCTCTTCAGTACTGTGTCTAGCTCTGATGCTCATGGGCCTGTGTGAACATGATGGATGCAGAGTTCCTGAATTGAAGGCTGCTGGACCATTTCTGATTTTTAAATGTCCTTTTTTCCTAGCTGGTGGGAACTCCATATTACATGTCCCCAGAACTCTGTCAGGGTGTGAAATACAACTTCAAATCAGATATTTGGGCTGTGGGCTGTGTCATCTTTGAGCTACTTACTCTGAAGAGGACCTTTGATGCTACTGTAAGTCTGCAAACCAAGATGGACTGAGTAACCTTATTTTTTTATCACCCTGAGATTCACACTTGGCTCATAGCTTTCTTAATTCATGTTTTTCTTTCGTCATTGTTTAAATCTGCTGATTAAGAAAACAGTGGCCTGGGAGTGCCATCTATAGCCAAAGAAAATGTCTGCATGATTTCCCCTACCCTGCACTGCAGGTGCCTCTGGCTTCTGCCAAACCCACCCTTGTGTGCAGCCCTGGGTTTGCCAGATGCAGAATACAAGCTGTGCTAATTTGTATCACGGTTGTGAATGAAACATCATTTTCTCTACAAGGAGGAAGTTTGTGATTGTGTAGTCTTTCTGGGTTTTTTCAGCATTACTAGCTATGAGTTTTCTGTGCAGCATTCTGTAGTGAAAACTTCCAGCCTTTGGATTTCATAGGATTTAATCCTGTTACCCTTTCTCAAAGTTTGGGTGCAAGAGAAGTGTGGTCAAGCTGGCATGGGGAGGGTGAAAGGGAACATTGCTAGCTGGCATATGTGATTTGCCAGCTTGTGCCATGGGATGGGAAAAGCTGCTAGCTGCCATGGTGCAAGATGTTGTAACCCTTAAAGAGACGATGTGAAAATACTGTCTTTTCCTGACTTCCTCTCACCATGGCTACTGAGTTCCCAGTAACTTTGCTGCTGTGCAGTGTTTCAATGGCAATATGCTGCATAGGAGATTCCATGCAGAGAGAAACCTATCTTCCTTCCACTGTTAGGGAATTTGATGAAAAGCTGGATGCTGCCACCACATCCTAGCTATCAGAGGTACCATTTCTGCAGGAATTATTATTAGGTTTCTGGACAACCTGCTAGGCAGGGAAGAAGAAGGATGTGTCCTGACCAGAGAAGGAGGAAGAAAATAATGGTGGCCTGTAGCATCTCTCCCGATTGGACACATTTTCCATTTCAGTTCCTTTACAGCTGGTTTCTGGTTTCTGCCTAGAATCCCCTGAACCTTTGTGTGAAGATTGTACAGGGAAATCGTGCCATGGAGGTTGATTCCACTGTCTACTCCCGGGAGTTGATCCAGATGGTGAATTCCTGCCTTGATCAGGTTGGTGAAATACTTTCTAATTTTCAGACACCCCTTCCCATCTGTTTAAGCTGCGGAATTCAGGGGTGAAGGGGAATTACATGCCTGTTTCAGCATGAGGGCTGTTGATGCAGGGTATTTTGTGGAGGCCTGAGGCATCACTAAGGCTAGGCTTCCTCAAGTCCCCTGAAAGCATTGTCTCAAGGTGCCATTCAGTCCTGCAGGCTCTGGAGGGGTGCTGGGTTTACTCTGACATCAATTATTTAATGGACTGGCAGAAGCAAATGTTTTCTAATGCAGTGCTGTGGAGGTGGGAGCATCGTCTCAGTACAGTCTCTTAAGGTTCTGGCTTTCTGACTGTGACTCTGGTGTTCTGCAGGGAATGAATTTCTTGAAAGCAAACGTAGTACTGATATGTTCAGAGCATGTAGGTCCCTTCTGCACATCCCTGGCATTTATCCCTATTAATTTCAGAGATTTGAACTAATTCCTTTCCCTTTGTGAAGGGAGTCAGGGAAGGAGATCCATGCAGGCTTGAATGAGGTCTTCTACAACGAAATCTTGGGCCAGATGATGAGCATTTCCCAGAGGATGACTTGTTGCTCATTTCTTTCAGGAGCCAGAGAAGAGACCCACTGCAGATGAGTTGCTTGAACATCCCCTTCTCAGCAAACGCAGGAGGTAATCAGATGATCTTGCCTGAAACCTGGGCAGGTGTTCAGGGAGAACAGGAGGGTTTGTGCAGATTGGTGGCATTTATGCTTTCATAGCAAAGTCCTTAATTTGGCCTGACGTGAGGCAGTTGTTGAAGTACACGTCATCCTCTTTAGGAGAGAAGTGCATTCTTGCTGTCTTGTCTTCTGATCTGATGTTCTGTTGGTGCACGGGTATGGTGAGAATGGTCTCTGCATCCTTTGTCTTAGAATCTGTTGTATTGAGAACCTTGAGGCATCCCTTTCTGAGTCTCCTTTGAGGAATGCTCGTTCCTGCTCTTCAAATCTCTATGAAGGAAGGGTCGCAGAGATCTTCCTGTGGTCATTGGGAAAGGCCTTTCAAAGTATACGTGTTGTGCAATGTAGACACCCTCGCTTTCTCCCTTTGTTGCCTCCCTCTTCTGGAGAGAGATGCATTGAAAGTGGCCCAGTTTAGCTTAGTTTGATCATCAGCCTGCACATACTGGCTTTTTATGAAAGCTGGACCATAATTCTGGCCCGTTCGGGTCCCATGTTGTTTTCTTTGGGAACAGCAGACTTAGTCCTTTATAACAAGATTCTTTTACTTGGTGGTTAGCAAAGTTTTAGTTTTGTCCTGCTGTGTGCACTGATAGAAGCCCAAACCCTGATAGTATTTAGCCATTTAAGGTCATTCTTGTGCAGTACGGGTATTGGTTGGCCACATTCTGGTATATATGTAGTTTGTTGTCCTCAGCTCTCCTGGAAGTTTGTTAGCTATATGGTACATTACTTCTGCCCTACTTACTGTGTATTGCTGAGAGCTGGTAAACAGTTGCCATGTTTCCTCCAAGAGGGAGCAGCATTTTGTTGGAAAGGAAAGCAGTCTGTGTATGCTGCTTGTCAGTAAATTGCTTTGGGCAATGTTACTGTTTCCTAAAATGCTTTTTCTCCTTTGGCAGGGAGATGGAAGAGAAAGTCACACTGCTTAATGGGCCAAATAAGCGACCAAGGTAATTATTTGGGCATGTGTTTGAAAGGAAGTCTGGAGAGAACAGCTCCCCAGAGAGGAACACTTTGCTGAGAGTGTTAGTCTGTGACAACCTTAATGGAATAGTTATTTAGAAGATCCCTAAATGCTAGGAATTTGACATAGTATTGTCCCGCATTTTACTCTGCCTTTTATATCTTCCTTATATGTATGGCTGGAGCCTTGGCTCATCGGGTCCCATGCAGCTCTAATCTGTCCTACTGAGAATGTAGTCTCTACAACCTGCATATTGGAGGATGTAATGTAGATCCCTCCTTTCACACAGATTCCCTTGAGCAGGAGCAATAAGACTGTCTGAATGTTGAACATTAAATGAATATAAGTGTCTTGCATAAAACTGGGTATACGCAAATGTTCTCCACAGTCCCCAGCAAGCCTGTGAGCTGGGTTGCTCTGTAAAGCAGATAGGTTCTGTGACATGTATACCTGTTTTTCTGTTGATTTGTCACATAGAATTTGACCTTTTTTTCCTCATAAACTTGGAAGTACTATCTGAGCACCTTCCGTGACGTTGCTCCTGTTCATGGGTTGCTGGCAAACAGTTTGCTTTGATTACAACTTCCATTTTGCAATCTGTTTGTGCATTGATTCTTACCTGCGTTGAAGAGTTATATTTTTGCCCTCAGATGGAAGCCTATAATTTAAATAAAGAGGAGAGAGGGAAGTTAGAAGCTTTTGAGTGCTTCTGTATTTTGAGCAAGATTTTATGACTGTTCGTAAGGCTTTCATTTTTCACAAATGAGAACAGCTCCATGGCCATTCAGTGAAAGCCCGGTCTTTTTAAATGACATAAAATTGGACTGTAGGCTTTTTAAAATGCTTCCTGAAGGCTGCTTTCACTGCTGCTCTGAGACAGGTTTGATCCTGAGCCTCTCCGTTGCAGTTGAGGCCTCACAACCACTCAACAAAAAGAACAGTTTGTGAAAATAAAACCCATGAATGGTTGTGAAGGGGAAATGGATAAACAGTAGCATGAAAATGAGTGATGACAGTGAATGCAAACGCATTATTAAAAGCATGTGTGTTTTGGGGGTGGGTCTTGTGCAGGTCAAGTACCGTGAATGAGGCTCCCATTGCAGTGGTGACTTCGCGCACTAGTGAGGTATATGTTTGGGGGGGTGGGAAGTCCACCCCCCAGAAGCTGGATGCCATCAAAAGTGGTTGCAGTGCACGGCAGGTGTGTGCTGGTAACACTCACTTTGCTGTGGTGACAGTGGAGAAGGAGCTCTACACCTGGGTGGTAAGTGAGAGAAACTGCAGGAAGGGTGGGAGACGAGAGTCCAGATCCACCAGTGACTGTTTATGAGCCTGTTAGAATCAGATGGGCAAGCAGCTTGGAAAAGGAGAGATCTGATGGTGGTGGACACTGTGGGGCTGTCTGCTTCAGGGCCGACCCAGGTCTCCTCAAGGCAAGTGTAGTTTTGGGAGAAGTTTTCATCATGACAGGAAGTGTATTGGAGACTTGCTGTGCACTTGGGGATTGTAGGTGGTGGACTTGTAGGCGCAGACACTGAGTCAAGCGTGTCTTCCTCCCCTTCCTGACTACTAGAAATGCACTGGAGGCTTTGTGACGCTCTGTTGGCTTGCGTGTTTTTGAGGAAGGTTTTCTGAGATCAGAGTGGGTGGGATGAGTGACCTCATTGCAGTACAGTTGTCATCTGTGAGGCACCTTGTAGATGAAACCAAAGATGTCTTATACTGAACAACTCTGCTTTTTATGATGAGTGAATAAAAAATCGTTGGCATATAATGTTTTTAAAACAATTGAATCCAGTCTTCTCTGGCTTAGATTGTCAGTGACATGGAGGTATTCTGCGTCTCCAGGCTTCCACAGGCTTTTGTATTGATGATACGGAATCTGTTAAGACAGATTAGAAAATACTGGTAGGTGGGTGAGAGAAGAAAGAGATCCAAATGTGAGGAGAGCAACTTGAAGTCGCTTGCTGGATGTTCTGGCAAGAATGGCCAGTGAAAACTTTCAGCTGGCTATTGATGTTTTAGTTTTAGTTTCAACGCTACTCAGAGTTGTTGACCTGTAGAGTTGGTAGGTCTGGCCACTTTCAAGTGAAATTTATTTCGTGTTATGGGTTTCTTTGCAGCCATTAGGATTTAGAAAAGTAGGACAAAAACCTGAAGGATGAATTTCAGTCCTGCAGCAGGGAGCAGGTACCATAGCTTGGCAGATAAGAAAGGAGCAGGGATTCCTCAGCAGCTGGTGGCCTGAGACTGGATCAGTCCTTGTTAGTGCATAGCTGCCTGAAAGCCTCTGCTGCCATTTAGAATGTTGCCTGCTGTTATGCCACGTAGTGGTAGCAATCTCTTCCCAAAGGTAGCTAACACACTTCTTCTTGCTCTTTGCTGTCTTCTGTTGTTCATGCAAGGTGCTGTAATTATTGGCACCATCTCTGGAGTTGTGGATACATAACCTTACCAGATGTTTCTGTCTTGCAGAATATGCAGGGCGGCACCAAGTTGCATGGGCAGCTGGGACACGGTGACAGAGCCTCTTACCGGCAGCCAAAGCATGTTGAGAAGCTTCAGGGAAAAGCCATTCGCCAGGTGTCCTGTGGAGATGATTTCACAGTGTGCATTACAGGTGAGAGCTGGAAGGGGACCACTGTCCCCTCACTTTGCTGTGCTGTGGAGGTGTTTGCCTTCATGGTAAGATTAGCAGAGCAGCTTTGTGCACAAAGCAGAAAGCCCCATATGTTACTCACCGCTCAGTTTTGAGGGTAGTAGGTGCAGTAGTGGAGACAGATCAATGTTATTATGCAGAGGAAGATATTGACTCCCAAGAAGGCTGGGTGTTTTGCTAAGAATATGCTCCTTTTTGGTGATGAAGTTGCATGTTGAGCACAGCTCCCTGTGGCTGTGCAGAGTCCTTGCTCTTACCAGTACATGTTTTGCCTCCATACATGCCCGTATTAGAGACAGAGTGCCTGAAGTCAAGAATATTAATGTATTTGAAACTCTTTTTGGACTTTGGAGAAAGAGTCACCCAACAATAAAAGATGTGTATCTGAGATTTGCTATTTAATTTGGAAAGCTTGAAACCTGGTAGCTGTCTGCAGTTCTAACCCTGCTCTTACTTTTAAAGATGTGTTAACTGTGGTGGTGTCTGTTATGGAAGAATTTGAATCTCGCTTTACCCACGAAAACATAATTCACAACAAGGTGGTTTCCAGCTTGTTTTTGCCAGTGCTGCAAAAGCAGAGGCTTGACAGAGATAAGCTCAGATGCTCAGTGTACTGAAGCAGTGACTTAGGGAGCCATAGGATCAATTTGTGGGTTTCTCTTAAAGAAAGTGGCAGGTTCAACCCAAGATTTTTTTGATACTGATGGCCTGAAATAGCTTCAGGTTGTGGTGTGAGGTCATCCATCTTAGTGTGAACAAGAAAGGACTCTCTATTCTCCTGATGACATTTTTCTTCACTGAAGAGGAGGATGATTACAGAAAAGAGGTTGCTCTGGCCGTGTCCTAAGAGGTTAATGTGCAGCCTGATACAAGCTCTGTGTGCTGACCCAGCTTCCCTTGCATCCTTCAGATGAGGGCCAGGTGTATGCCTTTGGCTCGGACTACTATGGATGCATTGGCGTTGACAAGGCTTATGGCTCTGAAGTGCTTGAGCCCCTGCAGCTGGATTTCTTTCTTACCAACCCTGTGGAGCAGGTCTCGTGTGGAGATAACCATGTGGCAGTGCTGACCAGGAACAGAGAAGTTTACACGTGGGGCTGTGGAGAGTATGGTAGGTAGAGTCTCCCTGGAACCTAAAGGCACCAGGGCATGCTGGCTCCAGAAGAGAGTTTGGTGCAGGTGTGTAATGCAGGGCCTGGGTGAGAGCTGTCTGGTACGTCCTGGGGGCAAAGAACATTGTTTGTTTGGGGCTTGCTTTCCTTCAAAGAGTGGGGAACTGGGGACTGAGCCCTTGGGAATTTACTCTGTGAAGCTCTAGGGTGCTGCTGGGCTTCCTTGTAGGTAGAGCAGTTGTTCTGTGGGTGGGGTTGGATTACCTTGAGGACTGGCAGGCAATGACACAGGTTTCTAGTTTTGTAGGGAGACTCCTTTGGGGCTATGGAGAGACAATACCATTTCTTAGGGCAGGCACCTTGTGATGCCATTGTCTAACTGCAGTGTTTTCACTGATGCAGGGCGCTTGGGGTTGGATTCAGAAGAAGATCACTACACCCCTCAGAAGGTAGGGCTATGGCTACTTCTGAAAATCTGCATGAGCATAAATCCAGATCAGTTGCTGTTTAGAAATACTAACTATCTGAGGGTCACATATTTTTTCTGAGGTATCGTAGAGTTTGCAAGGGTTTTAACTTTACTTCCTCGCTTTATTTTGCTTAATTTGTCCATAGAGATCGTGGCAGAAGGACATGCCACTTGCCAACCAGCCAGCATCATGACTTAGAGCTTCATTGCTGTGATCTCCAAGCTGGAACTGGAAATGCCAAACTTAATGTAGAAATCATAGTAGGAAATACCAAATTGCCTGCCTCAGGTCTGTAGAGGAAACTTGCGGAGGAAAGACTTCCAGAGGAACCTGGGAGTCTTTGAATTTGACATAATGAGTTAAAGATGAATGGAAAGGAAAACCCTCTTGAAATACAGTGCTAGGGGTAACTGAGGTAATCTAACCTGTTGAGGGTTAGAAACCAACAAGGATGTGCCTGAAAGCCAAATATCTGTGATCACACAGTATCACACCCACACAGCACAGACCCGGCCCTGCTCAGCTAACTGGGTCTGGTGCTTGTAGACCCCAGCTGGCCAGGATGCCTGTGCAGCACATTTCTGGTTCTTGTGCTGGCTCACTGGTGTCTGCCCACAAGGTCTAGAATGCCTTGAATTTCTGCATTGTGACAGGAGTTTCAGTATGCTGTAGACTTTATGATATTGTTCCACCTTCATTCAAAAATAACTGCATTGGGTATTGTCAGTGCCCAGACTAGCTGAACCACTGCTCTAACCCCATATGCTTTCCATGTGCCAGCTTCTATGTATTGGTGTTGGGATTTTGATTGTCATGGGATATATTTCTTTCACATAGGTGGATGTTCCGAAGACCTTAAACATTGTGTCCGTTCACTGTGGCTGTGACGGGACTTTCCTGCTCACCCAGACAGGCAAAGTATTGGCATGTGGACTCAACGAGTTCAACAAGCTGGGCCTGAATCAGTGCACATCAGGGATAATCAATCACGATGTAAGTGCGTTTGGGTCCCTGGCTCTAGCTCCCAGCCCTCAGCAGTATATGGGGAAATGGAAGTCCTGTGACAGTGACAAAGCACTCATTAGTTTTGTGCTAATTTGTTAGTTCCAATCCAAGAGAGTGGATACTGGGATTGTGGGAAGAGGCAATTTGTTCCTCAGTTTCCTGTCTGCTCTATGGGCTTATGTCAGATCTGAGGTGGTGAAACAGATAGTAAGCTACTCCACGGTGACTTAGCCAGTGACCTGGATTCTGGCAGTTCTTTACCACATCTGTGTTGGGACTCTAGGTTAATGTTATGGTCTGCCAAGACTGCTTGAGTAGGTCTTAGCTGATGAATGTGTGTGTTTACCCACATGTCTTTTCTCAGACGTACTGCGAGGTGCCATATGCCACTTCCCTTACTTTGGCCAAGCAGCTGTCCTTCTACAAGATCCGTACCATTTCTCCGGGGAAGACACACACAGCTTCCATTGATGGTGAGCCCTGTGTATTAAGAAGTGAATACTGGTTGCAGGATTACATCAGCTTTGCCCTTTCACCCTGGCGTTTGACGTTGAGGGCTGTGCTCTTGGCAGCAGGGTTCATGCCCGCTCCAGGACCCCAGGATTCCTGTTCCTCAGCAGCGTTTCCTTCTGGCCAGGTGAAGCAGCAACATCAGCTTCTGGGTCAGCTTTCCTTTTTTTCCTTTTTTTTTTTTTTTAAGGAAAAAAAAATGTTTGGGGAAGAATCACGCTCTGGGGTAGCGGAGGAATCATGTGTGACCGAGTTAGGCTTTGCTCAAGTGACACCAGTCAGAGGGCTGTGAGGAGTCCCAGCCCCTAGCATCAGAAAAGGGGAGCAAGAGGGGAGGTGTTTCCAGGCTGAAGCCATTCCTCTTGGCTGGCACTGACCCCTCCCAGCCTGGCTGGCTTCTCAGCAGCGTCCTTCCTGGTCATGGGCTGTTGCTGCTAGTTCTCTGCCTGCATGGCTGCTTCCGTGGGCCCTCACTGTGACTCTCTCCTCGTTCCTTCTCTCAGAGCGAGGCCGCCTGCTGACCTTCGGCTCCAACAAGTGCGGACAGCTTGGTGTTGGGGACTATAAGAAGCATCTGGGAATTAACCTGCTGGGAGGCCCCTTGGGGGGTAAGCAGGTGATCAGGGTTTCATGTGGAGATGAATTCACCATAGCTGCTACTGACGGTGAGTGGGTCTTTGCAAAGTTGCAGTGGGTTCCTTTGAATTAGATCTGCAGGGTGGTTAACTGGCTCCTGCTGATCATTTCCTAGACCACCCGTGCAGCACTGCACTGAAATAAAGAAATCCCCCTAGACTGGGGCTGTCTGGCCCTGCTAGTTGTCCCAGTGCAGCGCCAAGCATTCACTGTCCCTGGGGCTGCAGAGTGCCACCTTGGTGGCTACCTGTTAGATTCAGTATCAGTTTGTTCTTCCACTGACAAAACGGATCTGGTGGATTAGATACTTTGAGCTTGCAGTTACAGCAGAGAGGCTGTGATCCTTGTAAGAATTACAGGCCGAGAGGGAGGGAGGGAGGGAGGGAGAGAATTGAGGGTCCTGAATCTCTCTTTCCTCAGACAACCATATCTTTGCCTGGGGTAATGGCGGGAATGGGCGTCTGGCAATGACATCGACTGAGAGAGCTCATGGCTCGGATATTTGTACCTCGTGGCCTCGGCCAATATTTGGATCGTTGCATCATGTTCCAGACCTGTCGTGCCGTGGCTGGCACACCATCATCGTTGTTGGTAAGTGTAAGTTTAGGTTGAAATTTTGGGATGTTGATTGTGATGATGTATTGCTTGCCAGGACCTAAACTGTAAATCCTGCCTGGGAACAGGCCGGGTTGCTGTGGGGGAATGTGGCAAGCTGCTCAGAGCTCTAGGCCTGCAACATTGGCTTTGTTGTGTGCTGTTGTAGGAGCTGTCTTGCTTTCCATGTGGTACTCTAACTGAAAGCATGCTTCTCTCCTTGCAGAAAAGGTGTTGAACTCTAAAACAATCCGATCCAACAGCAGTGGCCTGTCCATTGGTACTGGTGAGTAACCTGCCCTGGGCAGCTGTGGTTTAAGTCCATTCTGTGGTTAGTTTGAGCGGGTGCAGTTTGATCCTGCAGCATGGTTTCTCTGTGTTTGAAAGTCCTCACAGAAGCACTCAAAGGGAGGAAATCTAGTCGGTGCTGTGCATGGGAAGGGATGGCCCAAAGCTGGGAAAGAGATAACTGAAACAGAGGAGGAAGAGCATGGATACAGCGAGACCTTTGTAGTTGAGGAACTTCAATTTGACAAAGAAAAGCTGAGAGGAATTCACTGAAGGGAGCTGATAAGGAAAGGGGGAGCTGTGGGGCAGCTGCTGGAGTCCAGTTTTTTGGAGAGCTGGAGCCAAGAAGCTGCAAAAGACTGCTACGCACAAGCCCCTTTGGGGAGGCCTGCAGGGAGATGCCACTAGCGTGTGGTCTCACTGTGGCCATACAGCCCAAATCTCTGCATCTTCCCTGCTCCAGCTGGGGTTTGGCAACAGGAAAGGTGGGGAAAGTATAAAGTTTCACTCTTGTTTGCTAGTGGCTCAGAGCTGCACAACTGGAGGAGGAGAGGAAGAGGATAATGAACAAGAAGCAGAGACCCCCAATCCCAGTGGAGGCTTTCGGGGAACTATGGAAGCAGATCGTGAGTTGGGGGGCTGGATTAGCACAACAGAAGCTAAGGGAGGCAACAGTGCTGACAGCAGCTCCTGCCCTGGCTGGCTGCGGAAGGTAATGTGGTGTCTCAGAAATGCCTTAAAATGGGGATCTAGGCTGGGGGAAAGCGAGTGGCCCCTTTTAAGGGATGCTCTGAAAGATTCTCAGAGCTGTGCTGCATGGGGACCCCTTTAGGCCTCGCTGCCTTTTTTTACCACAAGAGGGTGTTGGTGCATTGATTGAGGAGATTAAGTCAGTTGCAGGAAGGCAGGCAGGCCTGACAGTGCTGCTTTTGTGTATCCAGGAGCTGGAGAATGCTGAATTCATCCCCATGCCTGACAGCCCCTTTCCTCTGAGTATGGCATCTTCAGAGCCTGAGAAGGAGACTCTGCCTTACCAGAAACTTCAGGGACTCAAAGTGGCCTCTGAGGAACCTGTTGGATTAAACAAGCCCAAAACGGAGCCCTGGGTAATGTTATCCACGTGAATGTTTGGCCAAAAACTCTTGGAGACCATAAATGGCAATGTTTGAATTGTGGGGAGAGCTGACAAGAGCATGTTGGATTGGCCTAATTCGTCTGGATGAGGAGAAAGAGGGCTGCTGATATTAGAGATAATACTGCAAAGAGAACAATTCACAGGAATCTAGAGCACAAAGCTGGGGCTTGGTTAGATTGAAAATAGTGAGATCAGTTTTCTGGAAAAACGCGATTAATTCAGTTGGGAAAAGAAGAGAAGCCTAGGGCCCAGAAGCCTAGCAGAAGATAGAAATTTAGAAAGCAAGAATTGCTCTGAGATAGGAAGAACAGCTGATATAGGAAATCACTGAGAAATTACCACCTGTGAGACTACCTTATTCCAGGAGTTTTCTGATCCAAGAGGAGGCCCAGATCCCAGGTTTAGGGAAAGGGGGGGGTAAACCAAATGGATTTTTGTGATAGGAGGACAGGAGCTGCTGTCCCAGAAAAAGGAGGAAGTTAGTGGTTTTGTACTGGAGACATAATGACTATTATCTTGCTGAACTTGTCTGCTAGAAGTTTGGGAAGTCAGAAAATGAGCTGGGGTGACACTTTCTGTGCATGGTTTCTTGTGGCCTATACAACTCTTGGCCCTGCACTGAAACGCGCCCTGACTTCCCTCCTTGTCTCTGCAGCCTACTTGCCTGAGTCCAACCTTGCCATGCAGTGAAGGGAAGGCCGCGTCTCCTGTTGCGGGCTGCATGTGCAGTGCTCTGCAAGCGGAGGTGACGCGCCTTCGAGGCCTGGTTTTACAGTGTCTGGATGATCAGAAGAAGCTGCAGCAGGAAACTGTTCGCCTGAGTGCCCAACTGCAGCGGTTCTGCAGGGGGACGGAGGGAATGCAGCAGGTGAGGACCCGTCACCTGGGTACACATCCATGCTCAGGGCTCACTATGCTCCTGCATAGATTGTGGAGGCTGTGAAGAAGGAAGCGTCCCTTAACAGACTTCTCTCTCAGAGCAGAATGGGGGGACTGAGCATGGTGCCTGTCTCTCGTTTGAGCTGCTGGTGCAGGCTCTGGTAGTAGCAACAGGAATGAAGCCAAGAAGATGGTTTCCTGTGGGGACAACTCTGTCCTTGAGGGACCTGGGATTGCCCGTTGTTTCTCCTGTGGAGAAGGGATGGGCAGTCAGATGTCACAGAGAGTTCAAAATGGCTGTGGAGAATAGGAACTGTGCCTTGTGCAGCTCCTAGCTTCCTTGCAGCTAGTCCTAGAGCTGTTTGGATAACTGCTGTGTGTTTTGGCAGGTGGAGGTTCATTCCAAAGGAACACAGACAGCCAAAGAGGAGATGGAGCTGGATCCGAAACCTGACTTGGATTCAGATTCGTGGTGTCTCCTGGGAACGGACTCGTGCCGCTCCAGCCTCTAGTCTCCTGAGCCCACTGGGATCCATCTAACTTCACAGCACACTAACCGAATGCAGAGAGCGGCTTTCCTGGCTTCAGGTCACTCGCAGACAAGGAGCGAGGCCGGAGGCTCCAGAGCAGCACCCATGTACGTTTGATATGAACTAGGAGTGAGTTTGAGAGGGGAAGGGCCCCTGAGCTCTAGGCCAGCTCAGTGATTGAAGCAGCAGCAGCTCCTCTTTGTACCTTACCTGTCAGTTATGCACGTGAGGCAGAATGGCCCCATTATGGCGATGGCTCCAGTAGCGGCTTGTGGCCTTTCCATTGTTTCACTGCTTCTTGGGAGCTGCCTTTGGGACCCCAGTATTCATCACTGCATCTCTAGATGAGAGGAGGAGACATGTTTTGTACTGAAGCTGGCTTGAACTGTAAGGCTTGCCACCTTCACTTCAGAGGGGTGAAGGACTAGGATCCTCCCCCTACCACATGATAAGGCCCAGCCCGTGAGGCTGCTCCCCTCTGCTCAGGGGCAGAGGGAGCAGAGAATGTCTCATTCTGGAGGCAGTGGAGATCTTCCTGTTACGGAGATAATGGTAGACAGCATGTCCCTGGCCTCGAGGCACAGCTGCTGGCCATGTGGCTGTGTCCAGTGGCCTCTATAGACAAGAGTTTAAAGGCTTTATTCTGGGTGCCTAGAGCTTTCCAACTTCCAGGCAATGCACCGAGATGAGTGAATTGGGTGTTTCCAGTAGCAGTAGCGGGGACTGTCTGAGATGGGATCTCTGGTTCTCAGTTTCAGACCACCTGCTTCCTAACCAGATGACAAATGTCTGGACCTCAGACTTAAGTCACCCATTTCTTGCTCCAGCTGTTCAACTTGGTTTGGGTGCCAGAGCTTCTGGTATCTTGGCATAAGCCCGTAGCTGCTCCCTGCTTGGCTTCTGTTCTGCTCAGCCTCTCATGCCCACACTGTGTGTGGGAGTGGGAAGAATCAGTGTTTTTCCACTCAGTGTTTTGATGAAGCTGGAATGCAGCTTCCTACCCAGAATAGGTTATTAGTGCTGTGGTCACAGGATGCAGCCTTCCCCAAAGACCATGAGTGATCAAGTCTCTATCCAGAATTCACCTTCTTACTAGAAGCAAGAGACTTTCCCAAGAAAATTGGAGATGGGAAGAGGCATGGTCTGATGCTCAAGATTTCCTCATTTCCTGTTAGAGAATGAGGTTAATTTTACTCCCCTTAGATTTATTAGCAAACTGACTTTGAACTAAGCTTTTGAAATTGGTAGGATCCCTGGGAGCAGCTAGCCTCCCCTGCCTTACGTGAAGCCTCTAAGGAGTCCCGAGTCCCTCTCACCTTTGCTGTGAGAGTGGGGTTGTGATTTCATTAGGCTTAAACCATCCCCAGCAATGACATGTCACGAGAATTGCCTTAGGTCTATTGGAGTTGAATATCCTATCACCTCTCCTAGACTTCGTCTTTTGAGAGACTGTTCCAGGGGAGCCAGCGTTCCCTATTTGTCTTGAGGGGTGGATGCCAAGCCATTCTGCTTGTAAGTTACGCTCCTTAAATACTTCTTTGGTGCCTATTGCTAGTATCTTGGAGCTGAATCAAGTGCAGTCTCCAGGGCGAGGATCGTGCCGGTGTGCCCGTCCATCGTTACTGAAGGAAGGGCAGGAGGACAGCCCTCCTGGGAGTGGTGAGCGCCAGGCACCCTGGCGTGGCCACGTTGCTTGGCTGCCCTTGTGACTCTGCTCTCCTCCTCCCCCTGTGCGTTGGAGCCAGTTCTCAGGCTAGAGTCCTGGCTGGAGGGTTGCTGTTGCGGTTGGAAATGATCGAGTTGGTCACCTTGTGGCAGTGCCTTTGAGGAGCGAAGAGTTGTGCCTGAGCCATGTCCAATAAGCAAGCCCCAAGCTGATGGGAGTCGCTCTCCTGCGGTGCACTGCTATCCTCATTCCTCAATGCTCTGCAGTTGGGAAGCTAGGTGCACAGACTGGATTCCCCTTGGATCTAGTGGAGGATTAGGGTCCCTGACAGAGGATGCCCTGTGCTCCGCAATCTCATATGTGCCTTAGAGGATTCACGCTCTCCGGGTTGTGCCTGTTACAGACCACAGATTTCACACCAGCCAGCTATGCAACCAAAAAAGCAGTTTAAAGCCAGCACCTTCATCTTGGGCTGAAAATGGAAGGGCAGGTGGGCAGAAGTGCCTTTGAGCGGTTTCAAACCCTTTTTACTTCTCCCCTTCTTGCAGTGCTAGCTCTGTATGTGTTGGTATTCTGCTAGTATTGCTACCGAGTTGTTATAGTGGAACACAACTTACGCCTGCTCTGACACTCTGGCTGAAAACTAGTTTGTCGTTGTCTTTTTTTGAAAGGTTAAAGGGTGTAGTGGTTTGGAGTTTCTGTTTAAATAAATGTTTAAACTCATTCTTCTGTGTTTGGAGTATTTTTTTTTTTTCTTCCCAAGAGAGGAAGGGGAAATACACATATAATCAGCTGGCTTCTTGGCATTCTGCTGTTTGATATTTTTTTTTTTTTAATTTTTTTTTTTTGGTTGGTTGGGTTTTTTTGCTTGTAGAAAGAAGGCCAAGGAGCTTGCGGGTTCTTTTCTATAGGAAAAAAAAAGTCAAGTTCTGTGTCCCTTCATTAAAAACACCAAGAAACAAGAAAACAACTTTTTTCTCGTGTGTGTGTGTGTGTGTGTGTGTGTGTTTATTTCAACAATTTGAGTGCAAATGGGAAATAAGTAATGGGAAGAGTGAGGCTCAAAGGGAAGAAGTACCTGTTTCTCTTGGAACAGCTTCCTCTGAGCATTAAGGCCTAGAGCAGGGAGAACCTTCCTGACGCCTGCTGGGCCAACTGTTCCTGCACACTGTGCTTACTGCCTGTCACTTCTAACTTTTTTATCAGGGTTTTTAGTAAATTGTGAAATGTCTTGAGAGGCAGAGCTGGGTTAAAGACCTAAAATGACCAGGGATCTGGATACTGAAAATGCAGCATGTCTCTGAGAGGGGGATTGAACTGCAGCAGCAGCAGAGGAAGCTGAGCTGGTGTGAGTAGCATAGCTTTGAGTAGTGCCAGGGTAACACTAACCACGATCACAAAGCAGCAAGGTAAAACTCTGTGCTGAGCCTGATGCTTTGGCCAGACTGTTACTAAGTTTTAAACCAGTTATCAGAGACTTTCTGGATACTGCTGGCTGTCTTGACCTGAAACAACAGCTCAGCAAAGCGGGGTGAACTGCCCACGGTTAGCTCTGAAACAAAGTCAACAGGTGAAGCCTGGTGATTTAATTTCGGTGAGTTTTGTTTACAGTTTCAGTCTCAGCATTAGGTCTTTGCCTGTCACTTAAGAAAAGTCCCCAACAGCTAGGTTTATTTTACATTATCAAAAGCTTTTTCTGTGTGTACCTACCCCAGTCACCACTTGCATTCTGCTGACTTCTAGGGTCCACTAAACACAGCCAATAAAAATGGTGCAAGGGAAATGGAGTTAATATTACAGGACAGGCAGTGGTACTGAATTTTTTAACTACTCTTTGTTAAATTCAGTTACACCTTTTATTAATTCAAGGAGGCTTGTATAAAGCTTCCAGTTTACCCCTTTCCTGCTTCTTGTCACCTACTTCCTGCTATCCTCTGTTTCAAAGTTCTGAAGTTGGTCTTGCTTCAATTAATTTGGATATAGCAAGTTATTTTCCTTTGTTTCAAGTCTGGTTTTTTCTCTCCTCTCTAGGTTTGTACACTGATGCCTGGCTGGCACAGTGCAGCACTGACCCCTTCTGGGACCTTCATGCTTTTCTAGGGTGTGCCAAGGGATTGGGATTTCTGCCCACGTATCTACAGGGCAGAAGCTTTCCAGCTTCTTTCAGGAGTCTGGTCCGCCCATCGCAGACTGGAGTGCTGCTTCATATTCAGCTTCTGACTACTCCAGGTTAATCTGCTTGCTTTTTATCTTTTTCTAGGTTACCATGAGCTGCTGCTACATTACTGAGGGACTTGCAAAAGGAGCTGCTGGAATTTTTGTGTTCCTTGTTTGCTTCTTGTTGCAACTTTCTCATGCAAAGTAGTCATTCTCACTTTGAGAACACAAACCACTGTGACCATTTAAAACAACTTTTATGGAACAGAACCGGTGTAACATATTAAAAATCAGAATCTGGAGAAATAACTAACTTAGAAGTGTGCAGGAACTGTCACCAATTATAAGCAGAAGATTCTCTAAATGTAGAGTCCTTTCTATGGCAAAAAACAAACGAGGAACCCCTCAAATCCTCATCTCTTGTAGGCAGCTACAATAAAAATGCTGCACCAGCCAGACCCACTGGCACTGTTGGCCTGGTCAGGGGTGAACTCTGCCCCTGCAGAGCAGCAGAGCAAACCAAAGGCAGATGCTCTGTTTGGCCCGGTGGTCTTCTCCTGCACAGCACTATCCAAGGGACCGTGTCAGGAACCCTGGCAGAAGCCATGGTGGCAGGGAATCGCAGCGGCAGGTACAGTTGGACACCACCTCAGCAACACCTCCTCTCGTGGGGACGGGGTCCTGCTCTTGATGGTTTGGCATTTGGGAATATGTCTCTCAGCTACCTGGGGAGCAAAGCGCCGCATGCAGTAGGGGCAGCCAACATAGTCTGGGTTTGCAATAGGGGGCAACGGGGCCAGGTCCGACGCTTTCCTTCCCTTAGAGAGGACTTGCTGCATCTGGCAGGCCTGGTGCTGAGTCTGGATGAGAACCTTGTGTTCCTGTCTCCAGTTGTTCCTTCTGGGTAGTTTCTTCTGCAGAAAGGAAAGGCAGTCAGAGCAACTGGCACCACTGCCAACCCCCATTCTCAGTCTTAAGCTCAGGGTCCAACCCAGGTCACCTGTCCCTGGGCATTCTCTGCTGATGTAAAACCCTCCCTGAGAAGCCGAGTCCCACAAAAGGGATCAGAAAGGCCAGCACCAAGGGGGATTTGAAGGAAATATTCATGCAGACATCACTACTTAGAGCTCGAGAATAAGCAGAAAAGCAAGCAGTAGGGCCAAGGAACTGGAGAAGGTTTCTATCGCTGCTTTGCAGGAGCAGAGCTGCCTGTGTCCACTGCCTTCATTTTAACAATCTGGGTCAGCTCCCTGCAGTCCCTCATGGGACAGAGCTTGACTGCAGCAGACCTGGTCTGCACCCTGAGCATCCTGACTACAGCGAGGAGCCAGCTTTCTCCAGGATTACACCCTTGACCCGTTACAAAGACAAGTCAGTTAGGATCCTCACCCCCCATCTGTTAGATTTTAAAGGGATCTTTTTATCCGTTTGGCCAGAACCTTTCAGAGGCAAGAACTGGATTGTATCCCTTCACCCCGTGTAGACGTGAAGGCAAGCTTGCATCTCGGTCAGAACTAGAGGTCAGGGTGGAAGGAATGAGGGCAGTAGATGTGGATTGAGGGAGGCCAAGGGACTGCATGTTACCTCAGGTGGCTCTGGGCAGTTCCGCTGCTGATACTGTTCCAGTTCTGTGCCCCTCGCTCTGGCCTTGCTGGAGTCAAACACTTTCCTGCTGGAGAGTTGGCTCTTCTGGCAGATACTCATGTGCTTCTCAAGCCTGACGCAGAGAAACTTGCGTCCACAGAAGCTGCACTGTCCGAGCCCGTCCTGCTCCACAGCACTGGCAGCCTGCACGTACAGCCCCTCTGTGGACTGGCGGTCACCAGCACCTCGGTCTGAGAGGACAATGGGAGAAGGGCTACGTTTTGGGGCCAGCTCTGAACAAGAGGCTAAACCCTCCATGGGTCTGCGGTCTTGAATTTGGCTGTTGCTGGCCACCGGCTGCTCCTTCTTGAGTTTCCCCATTGCCAGCTCTGGCGGGTGGAGGGTGGGGCCAGGCTTGGGGAGAGTGGCCTCTGCAGCCTGCGCCCCACTGAAGAGCCCATCTCCTGGCCTGACTGCAGCTCTGGTGGGAGTTTTCTCTTCAGGGTGCCTCGCGGCCTTTTGCTCGTGGGTCCTCTCCGCTTCCCTGTCTCTTCTCTCCTCAGCCTCGGCAAGCTGCTTCTCTCTTTGAATCCTCCTAAGCACCTCACATGTTCTCCTCAGCTTCTCTCTGAGGAGGGCCTCTTGCTTTCGAATTTCCTTTTCCATGCTCCATGCAGCTGCCTCCAACTTTGGGATGGAGGCCAGCTCTCTCCTGTGGAGATGGGGAGCTGACTGTTGAGGCTCTGATGTCCAAGGACAGATCACCACAGTTAGTGGAGGCCTTGCTGCTGGAGCCCTCCCTTTGCTCATTGAGCTGGGCCTGCTATTTGAAGCTTCCTCCGTGTATGGGGCACTTCGAAGTGCTGAGTCTACCACTGGAACACTCTCATCCTAGTGGTGAAAAATTGTTTTCAGGGGATATGCAAGGTCCATTCCTCCTTTCTGCCTGGCTACTGATTGAACAGTCAGAGTCTTGGTCTGGCTGGTGACATACTTGCTCTGCAGTCCAGCTGAAGATGAGCCTCTGTGCCTGGAGCTGTATTGACTGCTTTGCGCAGAAAGAGAATATAAATAGCTTTGGCTCTTTTGGGCACAGAGATCCTTTAAACTGTCCTCTTTGTCAGCTCTGAGTTCATGCCGAAAGTTGTTCTTCGGGTGTTCCAGCTGGGAACAGGCTTAGCAGCTGCCACTGCACAGTCCAGCCGTGGCAACAAAGCCGTTCGGTGCCTAAGGGTAGAAGCAAAGTCATTACAGACCATCTGGTCTAAAACTGGACAAATTTTCTCCTAACAGTCTGCACCTGGAGGCTACAATGAAAGGCTATAATAAATATTAGCAAAGGTTTTGTAACTTTTCTGGATTTTGTAAATCTTGACATTTCTTCCCTCTAGGGAGCTCCCATGCTGCCTCTTGCAGCCCCAATGTTTTGTGCAGACAGAAATGAGACGCTTTTATTTCACTTTCTGTCCGAGCCCTGTCTTATCACGGTAGCAGCAGAAATACGCTGCACTGCCAGAGAAATTGTTCTGCTCCCCAGGGTGTTTCCCACAACGTGTCCCTTCAGCTTTGGCACGGTAGATCCGCCAGCGCGGCACACGGGCCTGGCACGCAGGTGTCCGGTAAAGCTCAGTCCAATCTTCCCGTGGCTTGTTCTGTCCCACCCCCCGGAGCATGTCAGGTCCCCACGCCGCAGGCCGGCCCCCCGGGGGGGCGGTGGCGCGGGGTTCCCTGTGGGGTTCCCTGCGGGTCTGCGGCCGACGCTCCGCCCGGCCTCCTCGGCAAGCTGCGTCGCCACCCGTTTCGCTTCTCGGTCTCCCACCGCCCGAGAGACTGACACCTCCTCC